TATAAACAATAGCTAAATATGTTCCCTGTGATGGACCAGATTTTGTCTAATAAAAGAGAAATCCAAACATTTTGGCTGCGAATGAAGTAATGTTTTGAAACATGTTCTATTTTACTGTAACGAACTACTTTTTGGATCGTTCATGTAGATGATGATGCTATTTATATAAGACGGTCTAGCGAAGGAAACCCTCCAGCTCCTAGATTTCAAACAATTTGAGTTGCTTGTATCCCCATCCACGGTGATAGGGTCTGTCGCCTGCTGTTTTAGAGCCAGGTTTCTTCCTATGGTCAGCACATATGGAATAAATAAATTCTAGAAGTTAGGTTTGGATTGAAATGAAGATCAAACTTAAGTTTAAGTTTAGTTTTTTTAATTTGGTAATTAATATTATAGTGCAAATTCAAAATGTTCTCTGTTTTCATAAGAGGAAAAGGAAGTACAAAAGGAAAATAAAGCACATAAAAAGAAAAATATCAGTAAATGTAATAGTCATATTCAATAACAGACGTAAAAAAAAAAATAAGACATAATTAAAGTAAGCTATCGCTTGATCTACTTTTAACCGTCGTCATGGTAATGATAGCCGCGGGGAACAATAACACCGAGGTTCCGTTTTTACATTATTCCATGGTTAATATTAAATGCTCATACTTGTAATCGTTATTTTTGCGTGTTTTGGGCGAGACATCTTGTTTTAACAATAGGCAAATAGTGTTTGATGTGAGGTAGCCTTTTATACAATTTTTGGCCATCGCGCAGAACATAAGGTAAAAATAACTTTGATTTCCGTATTTAATACTATTTTGAAAATACACCAACTTATTATAACATATAAAACATTATATATTATGTCTTATTAAACTAATTTCATTAATTTAAAACATTGAAAAAAATGAATGTCAAGAGCACTAGCAGACAACACATTTGGGCAGATCGTTCAATCGCGTCACAACAACATTTCTTGAAAATTAACCAACCGTATCAGTCATAGCACTGTAGCCATTTATTAACAAACTCTTTTTTTATCATTTTCTAAATCTCTATAATAAAAATTGGGTAACAGGACAAATGATCCCAGGACAAATTATCTCAGACAAAATATCTCACGGACAAAAGATACCAGGACAAAAAATATCAGGGCAAATGATATCATGGACAAATGATCTCAGACAAAATATCTCAGAAAAAATATCTCACAGCAAAATTGTAATAGTGTATTGGATGATTTCAGTTGATCTGCACATTTTTATTGACTGTCATATGGTATTGTTTACTATATGTAATATTGTTTATAGGCCTATATAATAGTTTTTAAGAAATATTTGCAGCATAAATGTGTCATATTTCATTAAACATGTTAAAATTCAGATTACTAATATAGTATGTGAAGATTAAAGAAATTTTTCGATAGCCATCTTAGGTGGGCTTGCCAAAGATGAGACAATCCTACCACGTCAAGTGGACGAAACAAGATCAAAGGGAATTAAATAACAATAAAGACACACCTTTGTAACAAGGTGGCCGCCCCTTTGATGGCAGAGACATACCTTAAGGCACGGGTTCCCAAACTGGGGGTCGCGAAGGGCTATCTATGGGGTCGCCAACTGGTAGACTAAACCCTAGCATTGAAAAAAACGTAAATATCTAGAAGAGTATCTGAAATTCGGCTTTACTAACATCAGTGAAAATGGAATAGAGAAGAAGCAATGCCTACTGTATGAAGTTGTTCTCAGTCACGAGTTTATGAAATCTTCAAAACTAAAACGTCATTTGAGACGAGTCATTCGGAACACACCAAAAAAGATATGGAGTTCTTTCATCGGCATGAAGCTAGTTGCAATCGTCAGAGACTTAATTGAACAGGAAGTTAATTCTTGGGGATTCCAGTGCAGTAAAGATGCAACATACATCTCTGCCTAATATTCAGCGGCTTATAGCAGATGGGTTAAAACGGATGGTGCGCCATCTACGTTCAGGTCAAAATCGGGCTTTCAGAAAACAGAAAAGATTTAGCTCCCTAACCACTGTCCTTGCCATCATGACTCCATTGCTAGTAAAAGTCGTAAATTATATTAAATCTGGAGACTTCAAAGAACTGAGCAAAGACATGAATAAAGATCACGAGGTTCTACTTTTCTACATTACAGTACGCTGGCTGTCAAACGGAATGTTGTGAATCGTGTTTTTGAATTGAAATCTGAAATCATATTGTTCTTGGAAATGCAAAGGAAACAAGACCTTTTGGTATGCTTAAAACGACATAGAGTGGTTGGAGAGAGTATGATACCTAGCTGCAAAATCGGCGAAGAAAATAAATCTTGACAATATTGTAAATTTGAGAAACTCTGCACTGTGCTAGATGAATTTGATTGTGAGATAATTAAAATATTGAAAGAAGCTATTTCTGGGCATCTTAAATCTCTTGAAACCAAAATACAGCGCTATTTCTCTGGGCTGAAAAAAGAAGAATCTGCATTGACGCATTACCCATTCTGTTCTTCCCTTGATGTTGCAAGCATTCCAGATGAATTACAAGATGCATTCTTTGATTTGCAGAATGATTTCGCGTAAGATGAAAAAATGTTTACAGAATTTTGGTGTAGTATTCACCATTCATACCCAAACGTAAAATTGATTGACTTTTCGAGAGTAGATTTTCAACACTATTCTCCGATTATAAAAAAAATTAAGAAATAAATTGAATGTTGATAATGACATAGGTTGGCGTTAATAAAAACTTAACCTCGAATGTTTGGTAAATAGCATGCAGTTTTAATCATGGTATTAAAACAGTTATCAAGAGTAGTTCATATTGAAAGTCTACTAGAAAATCTTATTTTAGTGCTTATTAATTTCCATACTAATTTCGACTTTTTAATTCTATGGGGGTCGCGGGTCACTTACTTTTTATAAAAGTGGTTCGCCAGTCGAAAAAGTTTGGGAACCACTGCCTTAAGGGAACGAAATCCACCCTCCATGAACAACACAACTAACATCTAAAGTCAATAGTTATGCGTCGGTCACACCTTAGTGATTAGGTGACAAATGCTTATTTAAGACGAACATCGGTCAACTCGGAGCTACGTTTGTCGTAGTGTGCATGCAAACAAAGCAGTATTAGTGGAGATTACTCAGCTAAGGCCTCTCAAAAAGGGTATAGGACATTTGCTTCTGGTGATTTATGTTTATAAAAGCCAGAAGTGGAACAGCAGGCAAGGAGATTTGGAAATGTGAAGATAGAATATGTAAAGCAAGAGTTCATACAATACGTGATCACATAGTATTGGAGAGGTGTGATCATAACGATGTACCTGCCGGCATAGAAACGTAAGCGTTTTGTTTGTGTTCATGATGCAATAAAAACAATAATTTAACGTTACAAACCTAAAGACCCATTCACATTTTTGAAAAAATATTTCGCGTGTTTTGAACATTAATGTTGTATGTTTGTTTTATACATTATCATTTATTATACATTTCAGGAATAGGTTAGTTTTCATTTTTACTTTTTTAAATCAAATGCTGTTAGAAGGATTAAGTTTAATAAATGTTTTGATGCTTTGTTAAGTTTAACAGATTCATTTTAATCACAATTATTACGCGTAAAAAGTAAACAAAACCATATTGACAGTCAATAAAAAAAAGTTCAAATCAACTAAAATCATCGTACATACTTTTAAAATTTTGCTGTGAGATATTTTGTCTGAGATATTTTGTCTGAGATTATTTGATAATAATATCATTTGTCCTGATATATTTTGTCCTAGTATCTTTCGCCCGTGAGATCATTTGTCATTGAGATCATTTGTCCTGAGATCATTTGTCCTGAGATCATTTGTCCGTGAGATATTTTGTCTGAGATATTTTGTCTGAGATCATTTGTCCTGAGATCATTTGTCCGTGAGATATTTTGTCTGAGATATTTTGTCTGAGATCATTTGTCCTCAGATTATTTGTCATGGAACCGGTCGAATTCGTGCTTTCAGATTAAAAAGTAAAAGATCTAGCTCCGAAATTAACGGGAATCGACACAGTTCACCATTAGGCCCCAGTCAGGAAGTTTCTTACTCCTCTCTTACAAAAACTACGAAAATAAACATCGCTAATTACATTCAATCTGGAGCCTTTAAAAGCCATCTGTTTAACCCATTAACGCCGACTGTCGCGAAAACGCGACATACCGATTTTGCGCTTAGCATAAATTATACGCATACAATTATCCTACTTCTGCCGGTACCTTTACTAATATTTAGGAAAAGACCCACAAACCATTGCATTGCTATTGAGTACCCACATCAGTGGCATTATACTGGCATTTAATACCGACAGCAGTGTTATTGAGTACCCACATCTTCAGCACTGAGTACCAACATCAATGACACTGTACACCTACAGATTCTCCACAAAGTAGGCTACCCACAGCAGTGATACTGAGTACCCACTGCTAAGGCTAGGTACCCACAGCAATGTAATCGATTGCCAAAGGCGCCAGCACTGAGTACCTATAGCAGTGTCAGCAAGAACCGACTGCAGTAACACTGAGTACCCACAGCTTCAACACTCAGTAAACTTCTTAAATACCATTCAATCTGGAGCCTTTAAAAGACGTCTGTTTAAAAAGTAGTACAAAAAAATGGATTCTGTATTTTGTTTAATAAATACATGCTCACCCAATTGTGATGTGGCATGTACCCTTTATACTCTCATGTGGCATGTGTTAGGTCAGAATTCCACAAACATCCATTCACTAGATAATTACAGGGTACACTGTTTGCATTTTCCTGTATGAAGCTGTTCTGGTACCCGCTGTTCCTGTATTGCATGTTCCTGTATGAAGCTGTTCTGGTACCCGCTGTTACTGTATTGCATGTTCCTGTATGAAGCTGTTCTGGTACCAGCTGTTCCTGTATTGCATGTTCCTGTATGAAGCTGTTCTGCTACCCGCTGTTACTGTATTGCATGTTCCTGTATGAAGCTGTTCTGGTACCCGCTGTTACTGTATTGCATGTTCCTGTATGAAGCTGTTCTGGTACCCGCTGTTCTTGTATTGCATGTTCCTATATGAAGCTGTTCTGGTACCCGCTGTTCTTGTATTGCATTTTCCTGTATGAAGCTGTTCTGGTACCCGCTGTTCTTGTATTGCATGTTCCTGTAAACTAAACTGTGCTGTGCAACGAGCTCCCGTAACAACTGTTCCCGCAAGACGCTATCCGTTTAAGAAGTTGTTCCTGCAACAGACGTCCTTAAACAACGTTCCCATACGAAGTGTCCCTTGGCCAGTCTAGCAAGTCACGAAGTGAGCCGTGTGAAGACTACGCTGATGTCTACCCAACTCATCGTTGATGTCCTTTAGTCTACCAACCCAGAAGCCCAGTGTATTTTGTGTGTGAGCGTGTGAAGGTGCAGAAGGCTGCTGATATATTGGACCAGCACTCCTGACCTACAATCACACTCTGGGGTAAGTGCCTTTTGTATCAGCCCTCGTGCGGTGCTCTCGGCAAGCAATGACTCTGGTTTTCTTCTACCATTGGGTTTAGATATACCCGCGTGAAATTCTCTATAGTCGTAGAGGTTAAGTAAACTTACTGAGTTGCCATTACTGGGGTTTCTTGGTTATTACTTGGCAATGGGCCAGAAGTATAAAATTTGCCAAGAGAGTAAACTACTAGAGTGGGCTGAAAATAAACTAGCAGAAGCAGAAGAAAAACATAGAGAGGAAACAAAACTAAATATAGAGTTAGTCGAACGAGAGGCTAAGAGAGCTTTAGAAAAACTAAGAATAGAATCAGAAGAAATGTTTTAATTAAAAACCCTCGAATTGGAGCAACAAAGTTTGGGTAACCAACGGGTAGTTGAACAAACAAAATCATATGTCCCACGTCTTAAGCTGATTAACTTAAAAAGTAACGGTGGTCCAATGGACATGGAGGTAGTGATAGATATTTTTGAAAAAGAAGCTAGAGAGGTAGGGTTAGATCAAAGATATTGGTGCCATGAGTTCAGGAAAGTTCTGTTAGACAGAGGCTGTGATGCCTGGTTAACTGAGCTAGGAGCAGAAGACTACACCAAATTAAAACGAGAAGTTCTGAAACATTTTGGGCTGACAGAGTCAGGCTACAGCAATAGGTTTAACTCATCCAAACCCAACTCTGAGGACAAACCAGGAAGCTACATTAGGAGAACTAGACATTATTTGAAGAGATGGGTCGAACTAAGCGGGATAGAGAAAACTTATGACGGTCTGTTTGATCTGATTCTTAAAGACAAAATCTTAAGGACAGTAAGTGACCCTAGGACTGTTGACGAGGTGGAGAAACAGTGTGACAACTATTTCGCTATATTCCCGACGAAACAGCTAGGCGACTCTCCAGATGCACCGACAGAACTTATAGCTACAATAGCAGAACCAATGCATCAAAAGATGACCGACGTCTTAGTAGATCAAATTCTCCGCACTCTAGACACAGCTATAGACACAACACACGTAGCTCGAAATCACCGCAACTTTGGACCTCGCCTATCACACTTCACAAGATATAGACAGAATTTTGACTCAGACAGTTATAGTTATGTGCAGTCACCGGGTCCATCTCGACAAACTACACGGACTTATAACAACTCGCCTCGACAACAAACGAAATGTTTTTCATGCGGCCTAAAGGGCCATATAGCAGCTGATTGTAATGTCGATACCGAGCGGACACAACGACAGGGGCGTAATAATTCACCTAATGTGGATAAGAGCAGAAACAAACAGAAGAAGGTCAGTTTTAGAAGCAAAAAAAGATGACTAGTCCCGGAGTTTAGTGGAGAGTGCGAAGATTGCGATCAGTGTATCAACCACATGAAGTTTACCTTGCCAATAGGGAACATAGTTAGCGATCTGTGGGAAAAACATTGTAAGGGAAAACTACCTATCGTCTCAGGGAACCAGACAGTTACTGTTTTGCGCGACACAGGTTCTGTAGTCATAGCGTGTAGGAAACAGTTAGTGGACAGAAGTAGATGGAATCGTGGTAGGATGACGATTAAGACAGCCAACGGTGTCAGCAAGAGAGTGCCTAGAGCGTTGGTGAGCATTGAAACTCTTTATCTTACTGGAGAGTTTCTAGCCGTCCTCAAAAATTGTTGGAAGTCTGCAAAAAAGGGCAATAAGAAGTATACACTTGTAGACGGCTTGTTGTTCAAAGTCGTCGGACACAGTAGAGGGGAAGATCAAATTCGTTTAGTCGTTCCATCAGCACTTAGAGATACTGTGTTAAAACTAGGCCACGACACACCCATGGCCGGCCACATGGGGTTGGCTAGAACCAAAGCCCGGATCTTCTCAGAGTTTTGATGGCCAGGCGCAGCTGGAGACAAGTTTGCCAAGTAAGCTATTGATATTGTTGGACCATTAAGGCTTACAAAGAAGAGAAATGGGTTCATCCTAACGGCTATAGATCTACGTACACGATGGCCTGAAGCGGTACCTCTTAAAAGTATAACTGCATCGGAGGTTCAAGATGCTCTGGTCTCAATTTTTACTACAATGGGATTCCCTGAAGTTATTTTGTCGGATAATGGGTCCCAATTTACGTCAGAAATTTTCAACAAGGTTTCGAAGCTGCTAGGTATTAAACTGGGCAAGTTGAAAGATAGAATGGTACTTTCAAGGAAATTCTGAGAAAAATCACAGCAGATAGACAGGAAGACTAGGACAAATTTATACCGGCAGCTCTGCTTGCCTACAGGGAAGTCCCAAATGAAATCACTGGCTATTCACCCTTCGAACTCATGTTTGGTAGAAAAGTTAGTGGACCTATGAACATACTCAGGTCCATTTTTACAGGCGAAGGAACTAGCGACTGTAAGACTAAGTTAGCATATGGCTACTTACTTGACTTAAAACAAACATTACAGTCAGCGTGTAGGCACGCTACGAGAAAGACAGAACTGAGTAAAGATAAATACAAAGAGTAATAAGACAAATCAACAAAAGTAAAAGACAATAGAATTGGCGACCATGTGCTCGTCCTAAAGCCTCAACTGCTGAACAAGTTAGAGCAGCTTAGATGGGCAGGGCCTTACGAAGTTGTTAACAAAATCTCAGACCTAGACTATGTTGTTAGAGTCGGTGAGAAGACAAAAGTCTTCCATGTAAACCGGATAATACTGTACCACCACAGGAATAATTCAGATAAGTCCAAAACACATCCCGTGCTAGCGGCCGTATCAGGTGTTATCGAAGAAGAAGAAGAGGAGCCTGAGTGTGGCAATGATCCGCAACCGGGTGTCCCACCGGTTAGGATTAGAACGCCTGACGTGACAGAACCCACCGACCTAACCACATTTCAAATTAACGAAAAACTCTCCGAGTCGCAACGTACAGACCTACATCGTCTGATCCATGCGTTCAAAGATGTTATTAGTAATATACCAGGTAGAACAAACTTAGTTGAACATAACATTGAGTTAAGTGACTTTAAACCCATTCGGATGAAACCCTATTCTAAACCCTACGCACGCAGAGAAATAATGAGAGCAGAAATTGAAGAAATTGGAAAGATCAGGGATTATAGAAAAGTCAAACTCAGACTATAGCGCCCCGGTAGTTTTGGTCAAAAAGAAAGATGGGTCTGCCCGATTTTGTGTTGACTACCGCAGGCTGAACGCCGTCACCATATATGACGCTGAGCCTATCCCAGACCAAGAGGAGCTATTTGCCAATTTGAATAGTGCTAAATATTTTACTAAATTAGACCTGACCAAAGGCTACTGGCAAATACCCCTCAACGATAAACGCAAGAAGCTTACAGCGTTCTCTACACCCTGGGGACTTTACCATTTTAATTATCTCCCTTTTGGTCTGTCTACCGCCCCTGCAAACTTCGCCAGATTAATGCGTTTAGTTTTGAAAGGCTTAGAGAACGTAGTCTCATTCTTTCACGACATATGCATTTATAGTGACAGCTGGGGGAACACGTTAAAAGCTTAGAGGCAGTATTTAGGAGATTAAGGGAAGCGGGATTAACTGTAAAACCGTCAAAAATAGAACTAGGATTTGAACAGGTAATTTTCCTCGGTCATATAGTGGGAAGTGGAGTAATGGCACCTCAGAGAGAAGTAAAATAGATAAAATTCTAAACATTGCCATCCCAAGAACTAAGAGACAAGTGAGGCAACTTGTAGGCCTTATTAGCTATTACTCCAAATTTATCCCCAACTTCAGCAATCTTAAGGCGGTGCTGACTGACCTTTTGGCGGGGGATAAACCAGAGAGAGTTGCTTGGACAGAGGAGTGCAACAGGGCTCTTGGGCTGATACAGGAGTACTTAAACTCAGAGCCTGTCCTTGTCCTGGCCGATATTAACCAACCGTTCATACTCAGGACGGACGCCTCAGCACGCGGCATCGGCCCAGTGCTACTGCAGGCTCAAGAGGGGGTGCTGCGGCACGTCAAATATGTCAGCAGGAACTTGCTACCGCGAGAGACGAGGTACTCAACAATTGAGAGGGAATGTTTGGCCATTATCTGGGCAGTGGGGAAGTTAGCACTGTACTTAAACAACGTACACTTTACACTCCAAACGGACCAACGAGCTTTGAAGTATTTAAACAACGTACACTTTACACTCCAAACGGACCAACGAGCTTTGAAGTATTTAAACAACGTACACTTTACACTCCAAACGGACCAGCGAGCTTTGAAGTATTTAAACAACGTATACTTTATACTCCAAACGGACCAAAGAGCTTTAAAGTATTTAAACAACGTACACTTTACACGCCAAACGGACCAACGAGCTTTGAAGTATTTAAACAACTGTAGTTACATCAACTCTAGATTAACTCGATGGTCTCTATTGTTACAAGAATTTAAGTTTACTATTGAGCATATACCAGGCAAAGAGAATATAGTAGCGGACATGCTATCAAGGGAGTAGAGAGAAAGAGCGGTAGATGGTGGATTTTAAAAGTGTGAGTGCTAGACTCGCTATGTATTGTCACTAATAGCAATATAAACAAAAAGTATGCAAGTACACTTGAAATTTTATAATTGTTCTAATTGGCTCCAAGGAAGTTTAATTTTGCGTGAATAAGTGAGTGCGTGAGCTATTGAACGTGGGTTGCAATATATATATATATATATATATATATATATA